GTACCGTCGGTGTCGAGGAGGCGACTGTAAATATTTGTTTGTACAGTATCAATCTCATATGAATATTTACAGTATCGTACCGTCGGTGTCGAGGAGGCGACTGTAAATATTTGTTTGTAAATAGTGCTATTTATTTATTTTACTTTTACAAACGTCATAGTTCAAAAGTCCCGCCAAAATACCGAATCGATCCATATTTATACTTACTTAGACATCTTCAGATATCACGATGTCGTGTCAATTTTGCACTTCTTGCCTTTAGAGACAGTATAATTCGATGTGAGACTATGTGTATTAAAAGTACGTGGATTTATAATCCTAGTTCTGGGCACCCAAATCTGCCCACACTCCACACTCTTCCACTGCATATTCGATGGTCAGTTGCTTAGTTAATGCCCCAAGCTTATAGCTGTACAGGGAGGAAAGCTTTGGGTCGATACGGATACTTCAGAGGTGTCTTGGCGACTAATATTACAGCAGGTCTCAGTCAACAGGTGAAGCCCGCACTCAATCCGGGGGGCACACAGAGTTAGTCAATTCACAGTCGTTTAATAACGGGCCATCTGGTAACCTTGACAACCTTAACTGTCGGTCATGAATGTGCAGAGCAATGTGAAGTCACTCTTCTCCAAGAGGGGCTTTCTCTTCTACAACAGCATCTACGGACCCAACCCCGGGTTCACAGACTATGGTCCAAATGGATGTGCGATGGCCAGGAATCTGACGAATATATGGTAAGTATCTATACTTGGATGGATGGATCTGTTTCTTGTTCATCTTTTGTAGTTTGTCCACAAAAGAACAAGCATTTCTGTTAGCAACCACCACAACTGGTTAATAGAAGACAAAACTTGTGGTAAGTGTCTTCGATTGGATATAGCCCGCGTATCTATTGGGCTCTAAGAGGGAATGTTGTACGCTTGTTTGAATGTGTGTATCTGAGACTTCATCTCACTCACTCGTATTCAACCATCAAACTAATTCAGCCGACTCTAAACACTATGACCTCTGTCGGAGTCCCGAGTTAACATTTTTGTTTGGTAGATCACTCAAGGGGTTCAGACCTCACTGTATGGAGGTATAGCTGTGTGAACTTATTGTGCAGATGGGGCTGTAAGGATCCTTGGGTAACCACTGCTACCAGACACGCCCGTCCTCTGCCTTTGCGCGTGTGTTTACTTCCGAGCTGATTGTTTCGAAGCCTACTTATCCCCACACATACGCAATGCAGCAAGTGTTGAGCTTTTTCGTCAGGACGGTTTGGGTTGTGTTGCTAGTATATCCATTGGTGGTAAGAACATACAACACGTCTCTGCGAGCATGCGATGCACTACTGGTGAGGTTACGGTCATTTGTGCACACAGTTGAATCCATAGGTACATCTAGTATAACAGAGGTGTACACGGGCTACTACACTCGCAGCTGCATGCATACATACAATGCAAGGATGGCACACACACGTATGGGACTCTGTAAGGGCGACACACATTCACGTACAGGTAAGCTATGTGCAGGTAACGGTCAGTACACACGTATAGTACCCACTAGATGGAACGAGGAGAAACTGCACATAAGCAGCACATACGCAATGATCACTACAGACACGTCCAGTCATGCACACACACACCGTCACACACTCGCACGTACGCACGTACACACCTTCAAGGATATATACATACAATCCATAATTCAGGTGGCGAACGATAGTGCAGCAAAATCAGAATGTGACTGGATATGAGGGGTCGACATTTATAGGGCGTGATGTGATGCGTGCATGGCCGGAGCACAGGCGAGTGCTATCGACCACACAGGGTGTGGTAGATACAACAGGTAGGTAAGCGGTTTAACTGGTGCATGGGATGTATGCTATTAACTACGTATCACAAGGTGTGGTAGGTACAACAGGTAGGTAAGCGGCTCATCTGGTGCATGGGATGTATGCTATTAACTACGTATCACAAGGTGTGGCAGATACAGCAGGCAGGTAAGCGGTTCAACTGGTGCAAGGGGCGTATGCTA